AAAAACGTCGACAGTTACGCGGATGGCGAGCCTGCCTTCCGCGATCCCTGTAACTGTCGACATTTTTGAGTTTAGAACATCATCCGAGAGTCGAAAAACGTCGACAGTTACGAGGATGGCGACCCTGACCCCCGCGATCCCTGTGACAGGTGACACTTTTCGTATCCAAGAGTCCAAAAATGATGACAGTTACAAGGAAACGAAAGGGCGGGGTCGAGCCAACCCTTCGAAAAAAAATGGTGGAGCCAACCCTTTGAAAAAAAAACCCTCCACCATTACCCTAAATCCGAAAATGAGGAAAATGTCAGAGTTTAGGGTAAGGGAATCATCCCCTCAAAGGTTAGGAATTTAGGGTTCAGAGCTTGAGGTTTCTGAAGGAGGGCCTGCCTGCAGTTTGGGGTTGTGTGGTGTAAGTAATACTGAATAACAGTAATAATGATAACAGTAAAAATCATAAACGTAATAACGATAAGAGTAGTGATGATAAAAGGAATAATACTAGTAAGAATAGTAATCATAATAACAATAGTAACAACAATAGTAGTAACCTAAACCCTAAACCCTAAACCCTAAACCCACAATTGTATTATGAGTAACAACAATAAGAGCTCAAGGTCCGAGGCGGAGTTTAGAGTTGAGGGTTAACTGGGGGTTTTGACCTGAGCAAAAGTCTAAACACCTTAAAGGGGGATATATAGGGGATTGTATAGGGGAGGATTCTAGGGGATATTAAGGGGGGATACGAGGAGTTTAGATTATAGCTCGCATGGGGTTTGGAGTTTACGGTTTCAAGTTTGCATTTGGGCCTTGGGCTTAGGAGTTCGGAGATCAGGGTTTGGAGTTCAGCGTTTAGAGTGTTTTTAGGATTGGGTATTCTTGGTGGCTACTTGTGTGTTTTAATGCTTGAAGTCGAGGTTCTGAACTCAGTCACAATGACCAGAAAAGAGTAACTGAGTAATGCTATGCCTGTTAGCGACCGTAGCAGTAGTGGTACCATGATCAAATGCAGTAGTTGAGGGCGGTAATCGGTGCAGCCATGTCAACCATGAGGGGTTTGCGTGTGTGAGCGCAAGAACTTCTGGTTCCATGTTGGGCCTTGCCAGGAGCTTTGGAAAGGACCTACATGAGGTGTGAAGATTCCTTTTCAGAGTGTTCAAATGCATGCGTGTAGATTCTTCCGATTCCCCTGATGCTTGGGGGACATTCATGCCATATCCGTTTATCAGGAAACTTAGGCACTTTGCTTTAGCAGATGCCCCACAGCCCAAACCCTATGCTTGTTTGTGGTTAGTCGGGGAGAGGGAAGAGGAGGGAAACTACCACATCTCTTAGGGCTTTATGGCATCGGGCGTAGGCAGGGTGTAGGGAGCAATGGATCTGCATGGCAGTCCTTGTATGAACCTTTCAAGCGAACCCTATAAGGCACTACTAACACACCAGAAAAAACATGAAACACGTGTACCCTTCTCCCCCCGGGTTCTCCCCCAGGAAAATGTAAGCTGCGAACCCTCGACTTTTTAATGTAAACCTTTCATTACCGCTGTACCCGTACTACCCTCCCCAGATGAACATGGAACCCAACAAATTCTGCCGTTTACGGGCCCCTTTACAGCAGGCATGTATGGGGTTCCATGTTACTTTGGGGAGGGTAAAGCCCTAAAGCCAGGAGGACTTCGAGGCCTCCATGCGAGGAATCATATGTGACACCGATCCTGCGGTGCGCGATGAGGCGCCGCAGGCCTACAAGGACTTAGGGCAGGCGCGGCTCAGGGGTTTAGATGGTTTGGGTCCAGAGCCCAGGGTTTGGGGTTTCTGTGTGGGCTTAAGATTTGGAAGCAAGATCTGGAGACTAGGCTTGGGCGTTTGGGGAAGCGGGTGTGCAACATGGCTGTGCATCTCCAAAGGCATGGTCTTTCCGAACCCCCCCGAAACTGCAGACTTTCTTGTCCGTAGACAGGTTTCTGATCTCTACATGATGTTGATCTGGACCTTTAAAGGTGCAGTGAGAAACCCTAGATTTTGTTCACATTCGCTACGTCATCTCTACATTATCCATGCGGAGGTTTCTGACAGGTTCCGAACACGACAATTACACTTCCCTTCCTACACTTCCGAGGATTTTGATACGTTATGCCAATATAACCTTAAGATAACCCTTTGTATTGCCCCAATACAACCCCAATATTACCCCAATAGAACCTCAATATTACCCCCCAATATAGCCCCTAATATTACCCCCAATCTAACTCCAATATAACCCTAAATCTTCACACGATTCCTTGGATCGCACGGCAGGTTCTGAAGAACCAGGCGGATCTCGTGGAGGTGCGCTCTGCAGATATAATAGAATCCCCATTATAGTGGTTTCCTTTTCATTTCTATGATCCCTTAATATAACCCCAATATACACCCTATATTACCCTATTTAACAGTATATAATACAAATGGCCAGTTAGGAGGTCACGTGTCAGGGGTTATTTAAGTGGCATCGATTTAGTTGTCCTTGATAGTCCGGCCGTTCATGTTTAAAACATCCGATCGACGCCCCCCCCCAAAGATTTTGATAGCTGTGCCTGCGAAGAGGATCATGCAAGGAGTTCTGCCCCGCTGCGAATGTCAAAGCAAATGGGCTTGCATAACCTCCCAGCTCACAATGTGCAAGCTATGTAGGGCCTAAAGCAATAGAATAGGTTTTTGGGGTATCTTATGTCCAAAGCAGTTTTTCAGGTCCACAAGAGGAGAATCTTTCTGATTTTGGAGGCTTCCACGGCTTCCGCATGAGGGAATCTTTAAGGGGAGTCCCCATAATCCTTTTGTGATCCCCATACACCCCAGTGTTTTCAGGGGATGCCTATACTGAGGAAGCTCTACAACCAGTGTTTTTCTACTACCATTTTCAACAGACCTGCTGCAGTGGTGCCGTTGACAGGTGGAACATCGACTTCTCCCTCTGGTCAATGTGAAGGGCTTTGAGGAGAAGGGCGGCCTTGTAGCAAGAGGTGAGTCCTTAAAGGCGGGAATGTAAGGAATAACACAGACATGGACAGCATTGTCAAACAGGATGACCGTGGAAGGCTGAATAATTAGGAAGATTCTCGTCTCGCCATGTTTACTTCTTTCCAGTAGAAGAATGGTCCCCAAAAGTCCTGTTCCAATCAATGTAGTAGGTGAACCTGCCAGTCCAAATACTCCTTCTGCCGCAGCCGAGGCAGTTTCTCTGGCGGTCGCAGCAGCTCTCGTGGCAGCTTCTCCCCCGGTGGCCGCAAACGAAGTGACTGGGTCCACATTGGAGATCCTCCTAGTCATGGAGAACTGCATGGATCAAAAGTCTGCATGCGGGATCTTCCATACTGAGCCCCGATTTCTCAAAGAACTGCAAAAAATCTTTTTGGTAGTTTACCTAAATAAGGGGATCCCAATATAGACCCCAATATACTATAGTCCTTATTATAGGGACCCCAAAAAGGTACCCCTAATTTTGGGAAATTCCCTTTTGTATTCCGGGCAAAGCGGCCTCAGGCAAAAGCAAGAAGAAGCAGCGCAAAGCCTCACGGCGCACGTGAGCCAAGTCGAAAGCATGCGTTGTTAGTGACGACAGCGACCCGCTCCCTTCTCAACCCTAAACCCTAAACCGTAAACCCTAAACCCTAAACCCTAAAGCAGAGCTGTGTCAACAGACCTCGGTTCCTGCATGAGTTGCCGCCTTCTGTGAAGAAGCAGGGGCCGCGCTCATTTGCACAGAGTTCCCGCTCGTTCGTAGGGCTAGCTTTTGTGAGCTACCCCACTTTGAATGCCTCAGAGTGGATGGTCTTGAGTGAGCCACGGGTTTGGGGTAAGGGTAATTGTAGCATAGGTTTCGGGAAGGAGGAGTTTAGACGTAAACCCCAAACCCAAACCAAAAGAGCACTTGGACCCTTTGCTCCACTCTTGCGCAAAAGTAGTCCTATTGGTGGTTAGTAGGGAATAAGGGAGCATGATCCACGTGTAATCCCGGTAAAATATATTCCCTGCTGCCTCCTTCACTATTCCCTACTAACCCCCAGTAAGTAGCTAGGTTACGTCAAGGCTTGCAATGAGCAAGCCACAGATGCCGCTTCTGAGACCCCGTCCGAAGAAGCCTGGATCCAGGAGGTGGTTCTAGAATACCCTTTTTAGACTGTAATTTTTGTGTTCATTATAGTTTTATTATGGAATTATATAGGAGTGAAATTGAATGCACTCTTTGCAGAATCACCCATGTTATCTTGGGGGGCTCTGATTTTTGGATCCTTATGGATCCTTATGGGGTATAGGTTCAGAACGGGCTCGAAAAAGCAGCGGCAAAGTGCCCGCACAGCGCCACATGCGGCAATCTGAGACCAAAAAACGTACCTCGAAACCTACAATATAAACCCTATATAACCCCTACAACCCCTGTATAATCCCTACATCCCGCACTCTGGAAAAAGATGAGGAGACTCTTCGAAGCCCCCACAGAGTCATCTCCTAGTTTAGGAGATCGCACATGCGTCCCTTGCCGTTGGAGGTTCATGGCCAGTTGTAACTACTATAATGATAACAATAATATTAGTAAGTAATACAAATAGAAATGATTATCATGATACTAATGGTAATAACAACAAGAAAAAAACCCTTTTTAATAGCAATAGTAATAAGATGAACCCTACATCTACTAGGAGCCTGGAGATGGTTATATCCCTGCTATTTAGGGTTTAGGGTTCAGGGTTTTGGGTAACTGCACATTAACTTTTAAGCAGACATTGACATGAGGCGTTCTTGCGATTGCAGTTTGTGGTGCAGGTAGCCGCGACGCGGATCAGGGCAGATCTACTGAACTTGTGGACCGTGTCAGCACTTGCAATTGCAATTCTGATTGACTTTCATGTGGAATGATATATGGGCATGTGCCGCAGGAAACTGTCATGAGCATTGCGGATTTCAAGCTCAAGGAAGGAGGCTCCATGGTAGCAAAGCACTTCGAAGGAGCTGGGAACTCAGGGCCTCGATTTAAGGTTTAGGGGTTGAGGGTTTAGGGTTTAGCTAGGGGTTTAGGGGTTCATTTAGGGGTTTAGGGGTTTAGGGTTTAGGGTATTCCAGGTGGGGATTTTCTCGTCCCCAGTAGCGAGTAAGATCATGTTCTCTCCTCTTTCAGGTACATCCCCCCAAAAGCCTCAGCCTTAAGCAACTTGTAGCAGCTGTGAAGTACTTAGTGACTTAGTGGGTGACGTCTGAGGGTACCTGTTCAGGGAGTTCCTCAACTACATAGCTCCAAGCTGGGACCATAGAAATCCAGCTCCCACTTTCCTTTCCATTGGCTTATCCATCCTTAAAGCCCTAAACATTATCATTACCACCACTAGTATTGCTATGACTGTTATTAGTATGATTACTATCATTATCCATATTACTACTATTATTATTATACCCCTAAACCCCCTGTATCCCTGGCTCCTTGACTGAGGCCTCCACCTTGGAGCTGAGGAATAAGATGAAGGCTCGTTTCGAGCAGTGCTGCTTGGCCTATTCTTGCCTGGGTTTTGGGTTTAGGGAGTTCAGTTTCAGCGCCCAGTGTGAAGGCATTAGGGCGTTTCTTGTTTGAGGCTTAGGGCCGTCCAAAGTTTGCTCTTCTTACTGGTGGTAAGTCGGAACACGAGGAATAGATCCCACGATTCTGTTATGAGGTCCCAAATACTTATGTCTCCCTTCCCTGCCAAGCACCTGTACCCTCAACCTGAACTCTGAAGCAGTTTCCATTTTCTGTTTCACAAGTATTGGGTTCTGAGGCCGCATCATCAAGACTCGCGCTTCCCGAACACAGTCGTGCGAGCTTTGCTGGCTGACTTGTTCGTTTCTTCCGTGGGATTAGAGTATTTCTCAATACAGGGGTCCCTTAAGTCAAGTGAAGTAGCATTGTAGGCCCTAAACCCGACATATCCCTATCTAACCCCTATAGAGCCCTTCAGTGTGACCCATAGTTGGTCGGAAGCCCTGTGGCGCGAGAGCGGAATGGCAGGCTTTACCTATGCGCCATCGGCAAGAAGCCCTTCAATATGGAGGCGGGTTTAGAGTTAGGTCCCGCTAATGGAGGCCCAATCAAGAGCACCTGAGCAAAGTATAAGCCCAAATGGTCAAAAAATGGTACCGCCTAGAACTTTGCATGCAAGCCCCTGAACACGCTCCACAACCCTGATTACTAACCTACTTGAGTCCGTCTGAGCATCTAAGTAAGTCAGGCCCCATCTACCTGGCGCATGCCACCTCGCCAACAAAGGCGCGTGGGGGTTCTCAAAGCAGGGGCACCCATGGTAGGGTTATGGGTTTTAAAGCCCGAAGCCCAAACCCTAAAGCAGGTAAACCCTGATTTGTGGCCAGGCCCGCCCGAAATCCAGCGCCACAATCTTTCAACGGCTGGTAATTGGCAGTGCGGCAGCAAAAAATGCGCGCTCATCCACTGCCCACTTGTTTGGCATGGTTTTAATTGCATATGGGGTTCTTTGTGCATATTGGTGCATGTATACGTGGGGCGCCCATCTGAAAAGCCTACGCATTTGTTCCTGTCTTACATGGCATGGGGTCGTTTGGAGCCACCATGCAATGTAGCTAGGTACAAAGACAGCTGGAAGACGGCTTCATGGATATGATTTTACATCGCAGCCCTATAAGGCCCCATGCCATATAAATCCAGTTTCAGTTTTATTTTTCATTTCTTTTCCTTCGGATTCTCCTGTACTGCTAATTACTCTTCAATGCTTTTGCATTAATTACCATTGCCTGCAAATTGGTGTTGATTCTGCCGTGTCCAGTTCCCGGCCACATCAAAGAAAGTGTCAGCGTATCGAGACAAGGCACCAGGACTTCAAGTGAGATGCCATGCAGATGAATAGTGACAGTGAAGTTTGAACGGCCTATCTTCGCAAATTGGGTCATGACCATCAACGAACATCAAAACAGCTGCATACTCGGGAACCTGTGCTAATGGACTGGGGGAACTTGCCATGGCTTCGGGGTGATCCGAACCATGCAACTCTTTCAGCAGCTGGGTGAGGCAGGCTTGCCTCTGTCACCGTTACAACAGGTATATGGAGGTTTCCCCAAATTAGGGGTACTTTTTTGGGGGTCCCCATAATAATGACTTTAATATTTTGGGGTCTATATTGGGGTCCCCTATTTAAGGAACCTACCATATTTCTAAAATCGGTCCCCCTTACGTAAATCGGTCCCCCTTACGTCCCTTAAGTGTCCCAAAAGAAGGGGATCCATACTCTGGGGGAGCTGCTAGGCAATCCAAATACCCATCGTTGAGAATGCCCAAATATGTTTCTATATCAGAAGCTATTAGCGGAGCGACGTACGGATTGCGATTGCAACCCAGCAGTGGGTAGGAGAGGTGCGGGACTTAGATTGAGACGTTACCCTAAACCCTAAACCCTAAACCCTAAACCCTAAACCCTAATCCAGACGGCGGCTAAGGTTGCAGTGCTTCTTTTCTGGATCGCTGCTGGGAGGATATCCGTTCTTAACATCCTGCTGCCCGTATGGCACGCATGCAATCTGGAACTGTTAAAGCACCCCCCCCGGGTGCCTTTTAGGTAGAGTTGCCTGCGCTTTACCTGCATAAGTCTTTGGTTAGAGGTTGGGCTAGCTCCATACAGGTTGCCCCAGGTGCAGATGAAACTGCCATGTCCTATGGACTAAGCGCTATGATTCGCATAATGGAACACATGAACCCTAATCCCAAAAGCGACAAACTCCTAAGCCGCGAGGCACAAAGCCAACAGTCGATAACTGCACCCTTGATGCAGGCTCCATCGCCTTACATCCTAAACCCTTGAACTCCATCAAGACCGTCAAGCCCCCACACACGAAAGCATCCCTACACACTTCCTATATGACCTTGTATAATGAGCCTATCTGACCTTATACAACCCAATGAAACCCTAAATCTCCCTATACAGCAAACGCTTAAATTTCCCTATATATCCCAAATTCTAAATAATATATATATATATATGGTCACGCCCCGGCGGGCTCCCCCCCCCCTCCCCC